ATTCGGTCCACAGGGCGGTATGGTGCAACGACGGTTTTAGGATTGGAAATGGGGTACTGCGGTGGCAGGGCAGTGGCGGTGTGGCCGATTGGAACAGGGGTACGATGGTTTCAAGCTGCGGGGTGGTGCATGATGGCTGGATTCAGTGGGGCGGCGGTGGCGTGGAGGGAAAAGGGCTGCGGGGAAGGTTCCTGAGGTGGCAGTTGGACTGCGTGCGGCTCTGATTTTGGTTGTGCAGCCGCGCGACTGCTGTAAATTTGCAGCTGGCGCTGCCTTATTGGGCTGCTCTAAAAACTTTCTTGCAAAATTTACAACAAGGGCAGCTGTTGTGTTGGAGCTGCATTGTTTGCCCCAAATGCCCTAAAAAACTATTATGCCCTAAAATAGGGCAGCTAGTGGAGATGCTCTTAGGATGACATGTGTCATCCTTATCAAATTCCCGTACTCTCCTAGTTCTTGTTGACGTATAAATGTATTGCCTAGTCTTTTCCATCAGATCAGTCTTTTGGTTGCATTGGCTAGAGCATGCACTTCTACATGGTATCGGAGCCAAGAGGTCTCGAATTCAAGACCCGGCTGGCGCAATAAAATTGCAGCCCACCTTTGGTCCATGTTTAGGCCTGAGGGAGCCACACGCGAGGGGGAGTGTTGATGTATAAATGTATTATTGCCTAGTTTTTTTCATCTGATGGTCTTTTGGTTGCATTGGCTAGAGTATGTACTTCTACAGTTCTGACGTTTCGGTTTCCTCCAAAGTTCTGACGTTTCGGTTTCCTCCAAACGGAATGAGCCCTTGAGGGTTCAAAAAGGCCATGCAAGCTTTCTTTGTTGACGTTGGGTTGTTTTCCGAACCTTTGATTGTTATGATGACTTCCCTACTCATTGGACTATATGCAGGCGAAAGCCTACAACGAAGACCAGAAGTACAAAGAAGGAAAGTTCATACTAGAGAAGAACATGATGCTGAAAGAAGGACGTTAGCTGGCGGGAACTGATGATCTGCTGTCAAAGTCTGCACAAGCAGACATTCGCAACTTGCGAAGTGTAGCTAAAGATTCGTTGATACTGATTTCCTGAACATTTATTACTCTGGTGACGGCCATCACCACGAAAATGCATTTGTGAAATCTGTTGCCCCCTGTTACATTTGCTCGGCTGGCCTCTGAAATTGAATTGTTACCAGCTTTTCTTGACTCAACCGTCGAGGTTCACAGATCGGGTTTCTGAAGCTGGGTGCTGATGTAGGCCTAGTACTCTTTACTTACCTCATCTGGAATCTATCTGTCAGCGAACCGAGCGAGCGCCAAGACCCAACTCAACCCTCAGGCCGGCCTAGAAGACAGCCTCGCCCACCGGCTCGGCTTGCCGGCCCAGAATGGGCCCGTTAAAGAGTTGTACTTATATCTGTAACGATAAGATTCGAGTGGCGGCTGGCAAATGGCTAGGTAGCGTGTGCGTGATAGCTTGTAAGTGGGGTCTCCTTCCTCCTCTCTCCGAATATTCTCCTGTAGTTCGAATTCGCCATGAATTGGAGATGAAATCTTGAGATGCCTTAACAATCTGGTATCAGAGCCGCCTCTCCCCCACCCCACCCTGCCGCTCTGGAGCTTCCCGGCCATCACCATCGCACGCGACTCGCTAACCGGCAGCGAGCAGAAGCCATGGAGAAAATTTCCCCCGAGACGAAGGCCATCGAGCAGAAGCCATGGAGAAAATTTCCCCCGAGACGAAGGCCATCTACGAGCTTCTCCGTGCTGACTTCGACGCCGCCCTGTCCAAGTCCACGGCGGAGCGCAGCAAGGAGATGACGGCGGCCTTCGCCAAGCTGGACTCCAAGCTGGACCAACTCTCCGGCCGCATCGACGACGTCAAGCTCGCCATAGGCGTCGATCTGGACGAGCTTCACGGCGAGATCGGGACAGATAGAGGCGCCGCGTCGTTTCCTCCCGCACCGCACTCTCCGCGCGCCACGGCGGTGCCGACGCGCACTCGGCCCCCGAGCAACGGCTCCAGTGGTTCTGATGGGTGTCGCTCTGAAGCTGAACAGAGGAATTCAGGTCCAAAATATGTGCCCCCACCTGTTCGAGGTATGTCTACAGATCCGTCTCATTCGCGTCAGATTATTGGAATTGGTGAAGGATTCAGACCGTACCAGCCAGATGGTATGAGTTTTGGTCCACGAATTGAATTGCCTCGATTCGATGGGTCTAATCCAAAGTTGTGGCAGTCTCGATGCGAAGATTACTTCAGGTTTTGGAATACACCATCGAACCAGTGGATTCCTTTTGCGTCAGCTTTGTTTGAGGGTACTGCGGCACGTTGGCTTGAATCAGTGCAACACCGCGCCCCTAATGTTTCCTGGACTGAATTCTGTGAATTACTGCAATCCCGTTTTGGTCGCAACAAACATCAGAATATTCTGCGGTAGTTGTTCCATGTGCGTCATACCAGCACTATGGAAGAATATGTTGAGCGTTTTTCAGAATTGTACGATCAACTGACTGCGTACGAAACAGATCCTAACCCGGTGCATTATGTGACAAGGTTCATGGAAGGATTAACACCATCAGTCAGACTTATTGTGGGGATACAGCAGCCAGCTGATTTGGACTCGGCTTATGCTTTAGCACTGCTATCTGAGGAGTTGAGTGAAGGTTCAGTTGGAGCAGTTTCAAGTAAACGCAGCATATCTTCTTCTAGTAGAACTTCTGTCAGTAAACCAGTGGAGAACAAACGTTCTACTGACACTCCGCGTTCAACTGCTACTGAAGACTGCTGGTCTGCCCTCCGTGCTTATAGGAAATCCAAGGGATTGTGCTTCATATGTGGGGAGCGCTGGGCTCGAGACCATCGTTGCAAACAAAAGGTACAACTGCACGTGGTACAAGAAATGCTGGACTATGTTCAGAGCATGCCGTCAGAACAAAGTGATTCATAGGATTCTGTTTCAATTGAAGCCAATGCGATCAGTATATCAGCTGCAGCAATGGTAGATGTTACAGCCCCAGCTACAACTACCATGAAATTAAAAATTCAACTGCAAGGGCGATCCCTGGTTTTCTTAGTAGACTCAGGCAGTACCCATACCTTCCTAGATACTGCTACTGCAGTCACTCTTAAGGGGATCACTGAGATGCCTGTGACCATGGTCAAAGTAGCCAATGGCAGTGTGATTCCCTGCAACAAGCAACTGCTTAAGGGACTTTGGTCTTGTGCTGGACATGAATTTACCAGCACTTTCAAGGTATTTCCACTGGGATCTTATGATGGAATTTTGGGTTTGGACCGGTTGGCTGCACACAGCCCCATGCAAGTGGACTGGGCAGCTCATTGGCTAGCATTTCACCTGGAGGACAAACTGATTACATTGATTGGTCAGGATGCAGCTCCCCAAATTTTTGCTATGGTGGAATTGTCTGCTTTGCTGGCAACTGAAAATCCTTCTTTAACTGATGTCCCTTCTGAAGTTCAGGAAATATTGCAAAGATTTGCTCCTGTGTTTGAGGCCCCCACTGGTCTACCTCCAAGGAGGAAATATGACCACACTATCCCATTGATACCTGGTGCACAACCAGTTTACAGCAGGCCTTACAGAATTGCACCTGCCCTGAAGGATGAGATGGAGAAACAAGTCAAGGATATGCTAGCATCTGGCATTATCAGACCCAGCAACAATGCTTTCTCATCTCCCATGATTATGGTTCAGAAAAAGGATAAAACATGGAGACCAGTCTTTGATTACAGGAAACTGAATGCTATCACAGTGAAGAGCAAATATCCAATTCCAATTATCGATGAACTGCTTGATGAATTAGCAGGAGCTAAGTGGTTCTCAAAATTGGACCTTCGGTCTGGTTACCACCAGATCAGACTAGCGCCTGGAGAGGAACACAAGACTGCTTTCCAAACACACTTTGGTCATTTTGAGTTCCTGGTCCTTTCATTTGGTCTTACTGGAGGACCTAACACATTCAACTTTGGCATGAATGACACCTTGTCTCCTCACATCAGAAAGAATGTTTTGGTTTCCTTTGATGATATTTTAATATTCAGTATCTCTTATGAGTTACACTTGCAACACTTAGCTGAAGTTCTGAAGTTATTGCTCCAACACCAGTGGCACGTCAAGCTATCTAAATGTGCCTTTGCTCAGAATCAGATTGCTTATCTGGGACATATTATCAGTGACAAGGGAGTTGCTACAGATCCTTCTAAAATTTCAGTTATCCAGGACTGGTCGGTACCTCAAACTGTTAAGGAGATAAGAGGATTTCTGGGTCTTGCTGGTTATTACAGGAAATTTATTGCCCACTATGGTATGATCAGCAAGCCATTAACAAATCTGTTGAAGAAGGGAGTTCCATTCCCTTGGATTCAGAATGAACAACAGGCCTTTCTGAATTTAAAGCAAGCCCTAGTTTCAGCCCCTGTGCTAGCCTTACCAGATTTCACTCAAAAGTTTGTGGTGGAAACAGATGCTTGTGATGTTGGAGTTTGAGCAGTACTGATGCAGCAAGGACACCCCATTGCTTATGTCAGTAAAGCACTAGGGCCCAGAAATCAAACACTGTCAGTTTATGAAAAAGAATATTTGGCAATTCTGTTAGCAGTAGAGCAATGGAGACAATACTTACAGTTATCAGAATTTGTTATCAGAACTGACCAACGCAGTCTAGCTTGCTTATCTGAGCAGAGACTACATACAAGGTGGCAACAAAAAGCACTGACTAAACTATTGGGGTTACAATATTCCATTGAATACAAAAAGGGGGTTGAAAACAGTGCTGCTGATTCCCTATCAAGGAGGCCTTCTACTGTAGGTGATGTACTACCTGAACTACATCACATCTCCTCAGCACAACCTGCCTGGCTAGAAGAAATCATGCAAAGTTATACCAATGATCCAGTTGCATCTGATTTGGTCCAACAATTGGCAGTGTCCCCTACAGCTAATGCCAAATTCTCACTCAAGGCTGGTATTCTGAAACAAGGCAAGTGTGTCTGGGTTGGCAATGATCCTCTGCTTCACAGCAAAATTTGTGCTGCCTTCCATGACAGTCCTTTGGGGGGACACTCTGGGTTCCCTGTCACTTACAAATGCATCAAGCAATTGTTCAGATGGAAAGGAATGAGAGGTGGTATCAAGAAATATGTACATCACTGTATCACCTGTCAACAAGCTAAACCAGAGAGGATTCCTTACCCTGGATTACTACAACCCTTGCCTATCCCTTCCTTGCCTTGGGAAATGGTAACCATGGACTTCGTGGAAGGTTTACCTACATCAGGTCGCTACAATTGCCTGCTGGTCATCATTGACAAGCTCTCTAAGTATGGGCACTTTATCCCTCTGCACCATCCATTTTCTGCTGAAGCAGTAGCTGAGGCGTTTCTGAACTGTGTCTACAAACTCCATGGTATGCCTCTGTCCATTGTCTCTGACCGTGATCGGATCTTCACCAGCAAATTTTGGAGTGAACTCTTTCAAAAGTGTGGTATACTGCTGCGTATGAGTTCAGCTCGTCATCCTCAGTCGAATGGCCAAACCGAGCGCGTCAATCAGCAAGTGGAATGTTTCCTCCGCTGTTTCGTCAGTGGACATCCATCTCATTGGGCAAAGTGGATTCCATTGTGTGAGTATTGGTACAACACTAACTGGCATTCTGCCACTGGGAAGACCCCGTTTGAAATAATCTACGGCCATAGTCCACGTCACTTTGGTCTTGTTCCTGATGACACAATTCAGTCAAATGACTTGCAACAGTGGCTTTCTGATCGCTCTGTGGTCATGGATTCGGTTAAGCAGCATCTGTTACGAGCCCAACAACGCATGAAACATCAGGCTGACAAGCACCGATCGGATCGTGAGTTCACAGTGGGAGATAAAGTGTTTCTAAAACTTCAACCTTATCTTCAGTCGTCAGTGGCGCCTCGGGCGAATCACAAACTGGCGTTTAAGTTCTATGGGCCATTTGAAATAC